TGGAGGTGGGGGTCTCCACAGAGGTGCCAGTGCCGATGGAGGCGCTGGTGCTAACAGAGGAGCCGTCCGAGGTGGAGCTGAAGGGTCCTGCGTCCCAGTCTGGGGAGGAGAGCTCGTCGCCCCCCTCTGCTGCCACCATGGCGAGCGTCTCGGTGGAGCCGTCGGAGGGGCTGTGGAGGCAAGAAGGTGAGGTGAGGAGGGGCCTGTGCCAGACTGGCGCTGTGCAGGTCCCCCTCTCCTGCTGCCTACCACTGCTGTGAGTCTGGGCTGGTGCTGCTGTGGTGTAGGATGGTTGGTGAACTGGCAGCTGAAGTGCCACTCTCACCATCATCCTCCTCATCCTCCTCGTCCTCCTCCTCCTGCTCCTCCATGCGCCGGCGCTGCCGCAGCCTCTGCAGCAGGTTCTGGGATGGGGGGGGTTATAGTGAGGAATGGGGGGTGCACAGGGAACCCACGGGTCCCTCACCCACCCGTGTGCCCTCACCTGGGCATTGCGCACTGCCTCGACCCAGCTGCGGCACAGCTGCCCGCTGCTCTGGAAGGTGTAGGCGGCCACAGCGCTGCCCAGCTCGTTCAGGTAGATGAGGAGGAAGGAGCCTGTGGGCAGGGGCTGTCAGCAGTGTCCAGGGACCTCCCTGTAGCCCCCCTCATGCCCAATGCTCTCACCTGGGTCTCTGAGCTCCCGGCAAACAACTCTGTCCACCAGCAAGGGCTGCCGGATCACCTTGGTGCGCTCAGCCTTCTTGAAGGGCTTGGTGATGAGGAAGAGGTCGGTGAAGAGGAAGCAGTAGACGTCCATCTGGGGGTGAGAGTGGAGCCATGGGCACCAGTCGGTGCAGTGAGTGAGGGTGGGTGGGCAGGGGTTGGAACTGAGACCTCCCTGTCCCCTGCAGTCCTCACCTTGCTGTCTTTACCTTCCCGCATCCTCAGGCTGCCCTCGAGGAGGAGCTGCCGGGTGTCCTCCGGGGAGGTGCCGGGGATGGGGGCCGTCAGGTCCAGCCTCAGGAACTCCTTAAGCAGCTGCCAGAAACCCCCAGGGTCAGCATGGGGTGCATGGGGTAACATAACATGGTGCAGCATGGGGTGGCTTGGCACGAAGTGACATAGGGTGGCACAGCAGAGTGGCAGAGGGTGGCATTGAGTGCCATGGCATGAGATGGCAGCTCCACCATGTCCAGCCTACCTTGTCCACCTCGTCTGTGCTGCCCTCCACCACCTCGTAGGCATCAATCCTGCTGAGGATTGCATCCAGGCGCTGCCGCTCCTGCCGCTGGCGCATCCGCGAGTTGACATCGTTGATGAAGCGCTCCACGGAGCTGATCTGTGCCAGGAGAGGTGGTGAGTTTGAGGGGCCAGGGGCCACCACCCCTGCTGCCCCCCACCTCTGGTCCCTTACCATAGTGGTGATGGCATCCCGGGCGCGTGGGTCATCCGTCTTCTTCAGGATGGACTTGAGGAGCAGCGGGTACTTGGTGAGGCGCTGGTGAGGTTTCACCAGCATGTCGCTCAGCTTCAGGCGGCTGCACTGCTCCTGCTTCTCGGCCCACTGTGGCACCCAGGCATTAGCACCAGCACCACCCCAGCCCTGCCCCAGCCCCAGCCCAGCCTCCCCTTACCGTCACATAGGTGCGGAAGAGCTCGCTGTCCCGCAGCAGGGTCCGCATGTACTCCATGCAGCCCTCCTCCTCCATGCAATACCGCACGTAGGGCTTGAAGAGGGACCCGAACTGGGGGACACGAGGTGGTCACCACACAGCACAGGGCATGGCCTGGCTGCCTGCTGCAGCATGGCATCCCCACTTACCATCTTGAAGCCATCGAGGAAGTCAATGGGATCGAGCAGTGCCCCAGTCCGCCGCGCCTTGGCCAGCACTGGGGCCATGACGCTGCGCCACAGCTTGCAGTGCAGCCGGATGATCTCCCCAATGTTGCTGAAGAGCCGCTCGGCATCCACCTGTGGGGGTGAGGTGGACAGCGCTGGGGAATGGCACCTCCACCCTGCAGCATGGTGAGGCTGAGGACCCATCCATGAACACCCTGTCCAATGCAGCCCCCTCCACTCACCTCAGAGAGCAGCCCTGACTCTTGCAGGTTCACCAGGCAGGACAGAAAGAGCTGTGGGGAGGGAATGGAGAGGCAGTGAGCTGCAGCCACAGCCCCCAGCCCCAGCACAGTGCAGCAGCTGCCAAAACTCACATCAGTGATGACTTTGAGGTTCCGGATGTAGGTGGCCTCTGTGTGCAGCAGCTCCCAGATGGCTTCCTGCTGGTGGCACTGCCGGCGCGACAGGACCTGCCAGGCTGAGTGTCAGCGCTGTGCCAGGGCCTGGGCACAGCCCCTGAGGCTCCCCAGCCACTGTCCCTACCTCTGTGCCCTGGATGATCTGCTGCCAGCTGTCCTCCAGCGCCAGCCCAGCCTCGTCCCCATCCTCCTCCCAGGAGTCGCGGTCGAAGCGGAGCTGGGGCGGCAGCTTGGGCAGCCCGAAGGTGCTGTAGGCGTGCAGCCTGTTCACCAGCTGCTCCAGCTTCTCTGTCTCCTGGACAAAAGCAGGGCACAGAGCTGGGTGGAGGCCAGCGGGCATGTCCCATGGACCACCTCACCCTGCCTGTGGAACCGGGATCCTGAGCCCCAAGGGGACCCATCCCATGTCCCCAGCACAGCCACAGGCAGTCCCCACACCCCTCCCCTGCCTGCATCCCACCTACCCGCCCGAAGGAGCCCGTGCTGGTCCCGGAGCCAAAGAAGCCGCTGAAGCGGCTGGCAGCGCGGTTCTTCCAGGTGTCAG